TTGTAGACTGCGAAACTGGTGTAATTTTCTCTCAGTAAAAAAAAATGGGCAAATATTATTGAAAAATTAAAAAACAATTAAAACGAGTTCTATTTAAATACAAAAAAAAATTGCATTTAAATTCCGTTCCTTTGGCTTTCGATTAAAAAAAAATCATTACAATTGAAATGGGGTGGATGGGTGGGGCTTATATTTTGTCTTTTTTCTTAATATACGTGGTCGTCTTTTCAGAACAAGAAACTTAAAACATATTTATGATGGTAAATTCTTGTAGACAAATGTGGATTTTCCAATTAAGCCCCGCCCCTCGATCTGACAACGAATGAAAAATTCATCACAATTGAGAATTGAGATCGGGTCGGGTATGGGTGGAGCCTAATCTTCGGCTTTATTTTTTCCTTAATACACATAGTATTCTTTAAATAAGACGATACTCAAAAACATGTTTATAATTTCTCGTAGAGAAATAAGGATTTTGCAGTTAAGCTCCGTACCCGCGGCTTACGACGAATGAAAAAAAAATCATTGGAATTGAGATTGGGTGGGTGGGCGGGGCTTATATTTTGCCTATTTGTCTCAAAATACACAGTCATCTTTTCATAAAGAGAAACTTAAAACATAGTTAAAATGGTTTTTGCAAGGAAAAATGGATTTTACAATTATGGGGCGGAGCCTATTTCAAAATCGATATTTCCTTATACAAATTTTCCATTTTAAACATGTTTTAAGTTTCATGTTGTGAAAAGAAGTCTGCACATATTAAAACAAAACGACAAAATGTAAGCCCGCCCACCCGCCCAAGGTGACGGAACCTAACGGCAAAATACTTACTTCTTTACAAGAAATTAAAAACATGTCTTTAAGTATCGTGTTGTTCAAAGAATACTAGGTATACTAAGAAAAAAACAAAATATGAAACCCCGCCTACCCACCCCATCTCAATTGTGAGGATTTGTTTTATTCTTAGACACTGAAAATACGTTTAAAATGGTAATTTTTTGTAAGGAAATTTGGATTTTGCAATTAGGCTCCGCCCCTAGGTCTGCAACAAATGAAAACTTCATTACTATTTAGATCACGGCAGGTATAGGTGGGGCTTAATCTTTAGCTTTAATTTTTTCTTAATATACACAGTACTTTTTGAATAACACGATACTCAAAAAAATTGTTGATTATTATTATTATTACAATATAAATACAGATTGAGACTGTTGCAGTCTATAGATCTGTAGAGTTAACAAATATAAATGGTCTTCTATGCAAAACTGAAATTAAATTCTATTATACAAAATTAAAATTAAAAAAAAAGTTGATTGTATTAGTTATTTGTCACGTTAAGATCGTCAGATGCGTTTTTAAAGCTGTTTGTAGTTCGCGGCTCTACAATTTCCTGGGGGAGGTTGTTTCATATCTTACATGGTAATTTCTTGTAGCGAAATAATAAGAATTTTGCATTTAAATTCCGCTCCTTTAGCTCTCGACGATTATAAAAAAATCATCACAATTGAGATAGGGCGGGTGGGCGGGGCTCATATTTCGCCTTTTTTCTTAGTTATCTTTTCAGAACAAGAAACTTGAAAACATGTTTAAAATGGTAGATTCTTGTAGACAAATTTCGATCTTGCACTTACGCTCAGCCCTTCGATCTGACAACAAATGAAAAATTCATCACAATTGAGAATTAAGATCAGGGCTCGTATGGGTGGGGCCTAATCTTTGGCTTTATTTTTTTCGTAACATACATAGTATTCTTTGAACAACACGATACCCAAAAACATGTTATACTTTTTTTGAGGACAACTAAGGATTTTGCAGTTAAGCTCCGTCCCCTTGGTTTACGACGAATAAAAAAAATCACAATCGTACACACATCCGTGCAACTAATTACAATATAACTTCACTTTTTTGGTTGAGGAGTAATAATGAAAGAGTACGGCCTGAAATCTGAACTGAACTGAACGAACCAAAAACGAGCCATAATAGTTGTTAATAAAAAATCAGAAAGACACATATTATGGCCTTTTATTCAATAAACACTACATACATCAATTTTCATTATAATCCTCTTAATTTTAATTATTAATCAAACACCGCTAATTTAGGCCTCAATAGTGCTTGATATATTCGATAATAATGGTCTACAATGAAAATGGTTAAATAAAAGAACAAACCAAAGTGAGGTTAAGTTGTACCATTCCGCGTTGTCATCTGTCATCGATAAATTTTAAGTTTATTATTGACATAGTTCACAATGTTGACATAAAATCAAGGCCAACGTGGCGGCTATCTCAAATGAACACCGGACATTAATTCTGAGGCGCTAGTAATAAATTCATTATATAACTAGAGCGGAAATTAAAAAAATCACCCGGTGATGAGATTGCCAAATCTTCAACAGTTTGTCACAACGAAATCTACAGACAGAACTTTACAAAAAAATTCAAAATTTTACATTCCTATTTCTTATTAGAACGAAAATTTTGCAATATGTGTTAACAGAATAAACATAGATTAAAGTGAAAGTAACCACTAAAAAGAAATTTAAAATTAAAAAAAAAACTAGATTTATAAATAGATGTCACTGACACAGAGTATGTTATCATTCAAATCTTGTATGTTTAAAAAGTAACATTTATTTTTGGTGGTAGAATCCAGAGACAAAATATCCTTCAAAAATAAACTGTCGGATGTTACCCAAGCTTCATCTTCATTTAGACTTAGATTTAGATAAATCGTAGTGATCCAAAACCGAGCAACATGAAATATTTCATCCAAATCGGAAACAAATATCAAGGTTTCTGGACGGTTCAATGAGGGCGAATTTCTCCCGGATGTTACATCGTGACGCTTCAAAAATAGTTCAAGTTCATTTCGACATGTGTATTATAAAAGTTGTCACTTGTTATTATACAAAGTTGTTGTAAAGTATGGAATCTACATTTTAAACGGCACTCACTAAGGACAAAATATCTTATTAAATCTTATAAATAAAGACATTATGAAGGCAGCGCATCATTAAAATTAAATTATTAAACTATAAAACATGATTTCTCATGATATGAACAAAATTAGTTATAAAACAAACTAGTATAAAGTCTAGTCGTTGTCATTGTAAGTGCACACAATCATCATATACAGATTTAGGTCAAAAATATTGTTATCATAAAAGACATTCTGTTCCAGTTTGGACCCATTTTTTTTTCTCAAACAAACAAACTTTATCAATAAAATCTCTCCGCAGGCAAACACAGTTTGTTCAATCCGGTGGAAACACGACCCAGCGGAAACCCATTTTTGACCGGCACCTCCACCAAAACTGCTTTAGTGCACACAACACAAATGCTTTTTCACGCCATTTACGGGCAAGAAAATAAAGGCGGAAACAGCTTTGATCGTTTATAGGGTAATGAAAATCGAGTTTCTCCGATGTGGCTGAAACGAGGCTCGGTAAACCATAAATTCGAAGAAAAAAAGAGATAATTTTATCTTGGCGGTAACTGAGCGGTGGAATAATGCGCATTTTATCCGCATTGGGGACACGTCGAAAAACTTGTTTCGAAAACCGTTTCTGGCTGCTTATGTTTGAGTTTAACGGATTACGGCAACTGGAATTAGATTAACTGATATTAGATATGTTCCGTGATAACGGGTATTTCTGACAAAGCTGGACGATTCATACCGAAATTCGTTTTGTCGATAATTTATTTCATACAAGAGATTCATTTAGTTTTGGCCGGTTGCCAGTGCTTGCTAAAATAGGACTAATGCTCTAGATCTGTGCGGACTTACGAAGATGTATCAATTTAGCCGGTGATTTTATGGAAAAATTGTGAGGTGATCAAACATTGTTTTTAATCATAAGTTTAGAATAAATGTGATAAAAAGTATAAAAGAAACAAACAGCTGCAAAATTTTAACTAATATGGGGAAACTTACTACTTACAAATGTACTATGTATTTGGAAAAGTTTGTTTTAATGACTACAATAATTTTAATATCTGATGTCATCACATAGACCGCTAACTTCACATGTTTGCTTGTAATGATCGCCCACTTTAAATTTAGAGATCTGATCCCAAGACACAGTGGCGTTTGTTGGATATATTGTCAAAAATAACGTTTTGAAGATAATTTTTAAATGCCAAATATTTGAACTTTATGTTAACCAAGCAGGATTTTTAAACTAAATAAATAAACATAAAGTTATATTTCAAACATAATAATTGTATGCGTGTCAAAGGATCGTTTGAAAAATGTGTTTAAAAAATCTTAAGTGACGTTTCCGTTGTAAGGAAGGCAAAAATGTCTGTTGATCTTAGTTATAAATTCGAAAGCTTACACATACGTCATTTCTCAGAAACAGGTTAAAAATAATTTCAATTATAGCTTCAGAAAATTAATTAGTCATATGAGTAAAAATAACAAGAAAGAACAAATGTGCATAACTCATTAATGACAATCTTGCACTAAAATAAAAATAAAATTAGTAAAAACCAACACCACTTTTAACACAGCGTAATTTCTAGTGTTTCGCCTTAATGAAATGTCGATATCCCCTTTCACATTAATATCTATTTTGGGATAAAGCAGCGCTGAGTAGACGCTTAAGGATCAAAACTATTTGCGATAAAATCTCCGATAAACCAAAGCCTAGTCCTTCCACGAAACCCCAAGCACGCAACCACGACAAAACTTATTTAAATGAGTCTTCGTCTAATTCGGGGCGACGATTTCGACTTTTTAATAAATCAAACTAAATTATCTCAGTGTCGCCGTAAACAACGCTGCGGGCTTAATCAGCCTCACCTCGGTGAGCTTAAAAGGATAATTTGCCTCATTTATATATTTCGCGGAACAAACATCGGCGTATTTTTAAAATACCGATGATGATTCAAATTGAAGTGTTTACTACTGAATGAATAAAGCCGCGAGAATGGTGAATGACTTATGGAAGGTTTCGCTTTCGCAGAAACTCTTGATTCGATTCATACGGGACTTACCGTCGTCGGCGTAAGTCTCAGATCCGTATCCGTCTTGCAAGCCATTCGCCCAAGTTCCTTCGTATTTCGCCGTGGACGTGTTGGACTGTCTAACGCCATAACGCCCCTTGAAACCCTGCGTCCATTCCCCTCGATATATCCATCTACCTCGCGTTTCCACACCCAGTCCATGTCTTTTTCCATTTTGCCATTGCCCTTCAAAGCAACTCCCACTGAAAAAATTACAGGTCGATCAGAGGAAATTGCGGCGCAGATTTATCTGGAAGTAGGGGAAGGAGGAGCGAGCTAAACAGGATCCTCGGGTTTTCCTAACTTAAACAAACAGTGATACGTCGATGCATAATTTGGCATTTGTGTGATTCTTCAAAGAAATGTACTTCTCATATTCCCCAAGAGGTATTTTTAGTAAAACTACGTTTGCTGCGAGTCGCTCTTTCGTTGTCACATATTTTGAACTTTTTAGAAAAAGGGCGGGGTTACAGACTCAAAGCGGATTCATAAATCACAAATATAGGAGTATGTTATTTTATAAAATTTAAGTAGCGTTCACCAAGCAAGATTTTGCGGACACGTCATCAAATTATTGGTGGAGATAATTAGACAAATTTTGGTTAACATTGTACCATCGAAGAAGAAGAAGAATGTAATAAAATTCGAAACAAATGGCAGACGACAGACAGACGGAAACTGGAAACCTATTTTTTCATATTCTAGGAGTCATGAAACGTGGAGAAAATATGAATGTAGCTTACCCTCGGAAAGTAAAAAAAAGCTCAATGTTTTATCAAAATAGTAAATTACTGATATTAATCACGCTTTATGTCAGGCAACAGTAAAACATAACTTATTGTCTACCTATTAGTATTACAATATGGTATTTTTAAAACATGTATGTAGTTATTATTTTTATTATACTCCATTATCACATGCAACAATTTAATTGTTACACCTACAACTACAGCCTAAGGTAACTAATGTTACATTTGATTAGAATAAAGAAATTAATAATTTAATAAAATACAATAACATTGTGCAACAGTACGTTTACAAAAATATATGTCTCCATTAACCCAACTTATTTTTCCGTGTAAGTACAGCTTGTACGTAAATCTAAATAATCACTCACATAAGGGTTAATTCGAGAATAACCGTTTAAAGAAACTGTGTCTATCCTTCCCACACCACTCACTAGTTTTATCCTGGTAAAAACTTCCAACTTCATAAGTATGGTGTTCTTCCAGAAAACGGTTCCCGCAGGACCACATCACCCTAGTTACGCTGTACATTTATATAATTTGAAACACACACACGGGACGAGAAATTCGGAAGGAGTAGAAGTTGAGCCATAAAACTTAAGAAAAAAATCGATATCCGGTGCCAAAGCCTCGCCCATCAGACACCGTTTTGACAGTGTTGGTTAAGAGATATAGACAACTTGAGAATTTTTTACCGAGATAAAAACGGAAACAAGACTTAAATTTGCTCGCTTCAGCTTTCTGTTACAGAGAACTACAAGGTTAAATTTTATTCTGAAAGCACACAGGTCGTAGTCAAGCTGATCGTGATATCGGTTTCACAAAGTGATAAAAACGCCTTTCATGTATTTGAATCCAGTGCAGATTGCGAATAAATGTGTCTACAGTGGCAAAGGGAAATTGGTTACAAAAGAGTTTTGGAAAGAGAGAGATAAAGAAAATCATTTTCAAAACTCCAGGGAGAGTATGTAATTACTAAGATACGAGTTTAATGTTTATATTTTATGTTCAGTTTGACAGTTACAGCGACTTAACTATCAAATAAAGTGTCAAATTCTGGAATAAATAAATGACTTTTTGTTAAAAAATTTAAAGTACATTAACATCAAAGGTTATTATAGACGTTGATTTTTTTTCCTCTGTATTTTGTTTTAAATTAACGTTGAAGTGCCAATCTTGCTCTACCTTTCCCTAAGTGGAGCGGAAAATGCTTCTAACATAATTTGCGCAATCAGGCTGTCAGAACCTGTACATACTTAATCGGTAATGGCTTCCTTAATTACCGTCAAAAAGTTTTAGAGTAATGGGCGCAGAGCAGATTTAATGTTTTTCGTGCGGAGGCCTTCAGCGTACCCGCTAATGTGGAAAGTTCCGCCATTTCGGTCGCATAAAATACATCAGTAAAAACCGAAGAGCCTAATTTTCGACAACCATTTATTTATTTTTTTAATGTAACCTATTATTAGCTTTTGACAGGAAGAAAGAGACAAATTATAATATATAAAATACATTCATACAGAAAATACTAAACAAAGCCAACTCTGAGCCAGAACGTTTTCAGTTAACAATATCAGTATCGCTGATTGACATATTCATTATGCGTTATATATAATTTGATAAATCATTAAATCGCTGAATTCCTTTACTATAACAAGCTACCCCAAGCACTTAACGAATTCACTTGAGCCGCATTAACTCTTCCCCTCGAAAAAGAATGTGGCTTATAGCGATTTCCTTTGATTTATAAGGGAATTTTAAATTACATATTCAATCACTCCTGCTTTAGCATAAATTTGTTGGTCGTTTTCCCTTTTCCTTTCTAATTGACTGATTTCTTTTTATTCGTTCTTTCCAGATGTCTGTGTAACGATTCCTGGTACGTTATTCCACTCCAGATTAATCATAATTATTGCTCTCGTCGGATTCTAAAATTAAATAGCATCACTATTTTATTAATTTCGAAACGTGAACAGTTTACGCTTTGAAAAAACAATAAAATACGTCAAATAAATGGAGAAATACGGAAACAGAACCGGATATCCCGGATATTTTTTGCTGATGTGACCTAGATATGGTTAAACAACACATCAACAACTTTTACGAAGTTATTTTTATTATCCTTGATCAATGACGACGAAATTTTCATTTCTAACGTTATTTTAAGATGAAAAGACGTAAACGCCCTGAAGATGGATGCAATAGCGGAAACTAGTCGGTTATGTTTAAATTAAATAGATTACAAGAGACAAAAATTCAAAACATTGTTGTATAGTCCTTTTATGTTTAATAACTTGTTGAAAATTGTTTTTATCGTAGATAGTTTGGTAAACTAAAATACCGGGTGACTACAAATTTTTGTGTTGGTAATTCTGAATTATTGACACGTATGTCACCATAAAATTTTAAATATGTTGCCAACCTGACCAAAAAATCACTATTATTAATAGTCACCCCGTATGTAACCTTTAACTTCCGACTTTTTATTGTAGGGAAATCCTGGGTTTCAGAGTTGCATAGTTTGTATATTCTGAGATCAAATATTTAGACGGTGCACCCACTTCATAAGAGCTAACATTTCAAGAAATGGATTTATATTTCCTGGAAATTCACTTGCAACAAACAGGCGCAATTGCATTTTGGCGGACGATATAATAATAATTAAAATTTTTTGGAGAATATTCTTGAGATTACAAGCGGGACCTTTTGAGTGACATTATTCCCTTCGTATTGTAATCGAGTCCGTCGGCCGACTCTCTATTTTTACGTTTTCTCGACCTTTCATGACCCCTAGAGTACGAAGAAATAGGTCTTCCTTTTCCGTCTGTCACTCTGTCCGTCTGTTTGTCTGTCTGTCCGTCACGGATTTTTATTAAACAGATAAGTACTGGGCTGATTTTTGTTAATTTTTATATTTATATTTGGAATATCATGTATATGGTAAAACGCTAACCAAAATTATATAATATAATGATTATATTCAGAACATTTTGTCGATTGTAGCTTACTACTTAATAGTTTTGATCCTCTGTTTTGAGGGGACGAACTCATTCAAATCAAACTACTTTCTACGTGACATTCTTCCGACACTTTCAAGTTGTTTTTCTTATCGAGGATAGCCTAAGGACGTACAGTAATGGAGTCCATAAGGCAATTTGGTACTTTCATATTTTCTCGATATTTCATAACCCCTAAACAAGGCCGTAGCCATCTTTTAGTTTCTGTTTCACTCTCACAACTACAGGTTGATAAGTGTTATCGCTACTTGTCTTAAATTACGAGTACCATAAATGATTTTCAGTTCAGTCTTTAGTTGCACCTCTGTTATTACATACGGCAGACGCGATTAAATTGTTTCGTTATTTTATTAATTATAAATCGCTATTCAAGAATAACAATAGTACAATACTTTTATTATTAGTATTACAATGCATCTATCCAAACTGATATATGCGTCCTTACAAAAATGTTACACTTGTAACAAACGGTTAACACGTTTCTTTACCTTTACTCATACATTAAATATTTATATAAATTATGCCCCAATCATCAAGAACATCAAGAATGGGCAGAAGCCAAAATTAAGTGAACAGCAATGTCTAAAAAATTGTTAAACTAATGACAACAAAATATACGAAAAAAACCTTAGAAACACTAAGAAAAGAAAATATGTCAAAAATTTCAAAAGAACAAATTAAAAATGTGAAATGTAATCCAGAGAATATGTCATTTGCCAAAATCAGTCTTGTCTTACCAAGTAGTAGCCCCGCCCACCCGCCCCCTATTTTCTCAGAGGATATGGCGTCTGCCAAAATCACTCTTATCTCAGCAAGTGCTAGCCCCGCCCACCCGCCCCTATTTTCTCAGAGGATATGTCATTTGCCAAAATCAGTCTTATCTTACCAAGTACTAGTACTAGTACTACTATATTTTTATTTCCCGTTATAATGGTTGCCATAAAAAACAATAAAATTCGCAAAATCAAATCTTTTAATTTTTCGAAAGAGCTGGATTTGACAAACTGTACTTTATAGGCAAGGGAAGTTCTGTCGAAGTAATCTTCGGCAAATTTTTTTATTTAAAGTTCCTGAAATTGATTTCGATTATGATGAATACATACAACATTACACTTACACAATTTCCGTTTGATGAAGCAATGTGTGATGCCTTCGTATACTTGTGCACTGTTAAGCCGACCTTGACTTTGACTTCACATTTTCATGGTTGCGTAATTATTATATTATCATTACTTAAAATCTGTCAGCTTTATATACACACTAGATTGAGTAAACACAAGATTTCAAGCATACAAATTTACTACTTTATTAAGATTTACTGTTTTAACGCATGTAAACATTGATAAAGTTTCAAAAATTGGTCTAAGGTTATTTTGATACTTTCTTCGAACTGAGCGAATAGGCCGTTTCTCTTATATATTATGTTATAAAAATTCTATGAGT